TTCCGCTTTGCCGGATCGTCGACGAGTAAAACTACTTTGTTATCTTGTTCATTAAACTCTCTCTCTCTCTCTCTCTCTCTCTCTCTCTCTCTCTCACTCACTCTCTCTTACACTTATTTTATTTTGTTATCAGTTTTAAACTCGATTTGTTCTTAACAATTGGCTAAACTAAAAATAGAATATACACGTGAAGTAAAAACGTTTTCTAAGCGTCATCTTTCAAAGTTCACACTCCGTTTATTTAATGAATAATAAAAAAACTGAGAATGAGAGGAAAAGATGAATTGTAAGATAAAAATGTAAAAGGTAAAAGTTAATTAAACGTTATGCAGATATGCATATATATAATCATACATCATACTCATATTATTAAAATGAAATTCCGTCACGCACATAAAGAGAGAACGTTAACTTTCTAATATAGTGACTGATATAATAAATAAGTTACAGTAGTTTTACCACGAAGATAAGTACATATATACGAAAATTCAAATAGTTAAGTTAGGATAGTCAAAGGTATTGAAGGTAGTGGTTTTGGTAGAAGGGTTCGGATGAAGGGGTGGGGGGAAAGGTATATTTTTCCTTGTATACGACTGTCATATCCTCCCTCGAGAATGAACGAAGTGTTTTGACGTGTTGTTGTCAAAAAGGGGGGGGGGTCTGCTACTGCTGCTGCTGCTGCTGCTGCGAACGACGAGAAGCCTAAGCTTAGAGGTTAGGCTTTGCGGCTAAAGCTATGCCATTACGCGTTCTCTTCACGCAGATTAGTCGACACAAATCTCGAGCACCCAAGGGAACTACCGTGCTTAAAGTTACGTTTCTCCGCTGTTCATCTTACAGAGGTTCTCATACCTTTTCGTCACCTTTCCCCATTCTCTAACCTTTTATCGATCCAACTAAATTGTATTTTTGTAATCTTACACCCTTTTATGCTTGTAATTCATTTTTTTATTTAATAAATATGTTTTTATAATTGTTTTGTTCTTCTTCTTTGTTACAGCTGTCACAGGCACGATTAGAAGAACGGACAACGCAACAACAATCGTTTCGGTTAGTAAACAAAATACGTTTTTTCTTTTCTTTTTATTTAACTCCCAGATATTACTGCACAATTTGTCTCGTAAGATATTTGGCAAGTTGTTTTAACCCATTCGAGACCACGACTTTTTTCTAACACATACATGATATGCTAGTGGGGTCTCGAATGGGTTAATTGAATTAAGGAAAGGAAGCACGCGTGGGTGTTATTCCCAGTTGAATAACTTTTCTTTCTTTTAAAAAAAAAAAATTTGTTTTTTTTTTTTTTCCAAAAAATAGTTGCCTATGATATCTCTCTTCTAACGTTTAAAAGTATATCACATATTATTATCGATACGTGTTTTGTGTGCCCCTGGAGGGAAGCTTTCGAGACGACATTGTTTTCTTATCGTCTGAGTTTTTTTTACGCGTGTATCGGAGTAACAAAGAGACGAAGGGAGGAGGAAGAAGAGGGAGAAAAAAAATGTAAGAAAGAAAGAAAGAAAGAAAGAAGAAAAAAGGCGTCGAGTAGACGACGACGGGCTCTCGTCGACGTATTTTTCTCGAGCAAACACACATCTTCTTCGCCTTAAGCTCGCGCACACAAAAAAAAAAAAAGAAAAAAAAAAAGAATGAAAGAGAAGGAGGATGAAGAAGAAGAGGAAGAAGAAGAAGAGGCGTGGGATGAATGAAAGGCAAAGAGCGTATAATCGATTTATGATAGTCGAGCCTTCGTGAATCGAGACGCGACATCGAGCTTGCACTTTTCTTTTAAGCCAAAGTCTAAACTCGAGAGTCCCATCTTCCCCTCCCTCTTCTCGTCCTCCTCCACCTCGTCCCCATCCCCGTCCCATTCTTATCTCACGGCGGACAACGTTCTGGATTTCACGATCGTGCCGATAAATCTTTCCACCCAAGTCTTTGTCTTTGTCTTAGGTTAGTCTTCCCACTTTGTCTTTTACCACCTTCCACGTGATTTTCACCTGACTATCAGCGCATCCATCTTTCTCTACCTTTTTTTCTTCTTTTTTCTTTTTTTGACATAAGAATTTATCAATTTCAAGCCTTTGCTAAACTAGTATACTATTTCTTTTTGTTTCTCCGATAAAAATTTCATTTACAAATAAGAATACAAGTTATTTGGTTAAGGTGGAGGGGGGCACCACTAGTGTGACCACTTGAAAAAAAAAAAGATGATTTTTTAATTTGTTAATTTTTAAAATTCTTTAACTTTAACAATTTACTTTAATAATTAATAATACAATTAGAGGTATGATATATTTTAAAAGATGTCATTCGCGAAAGTCACTATAATGGCGCATGCGTAATGTCTAAGAGGTTAAAATAATTGGTTATACGATATAGTTAAGTAGTAACCGAGCAATACTGGTCAGACGTATCTCTCTAGAAATAAGATACGATTAATTTATACGATACATTATACGTAACCAAAGACTAAAACTAGGATCTACCATCCTAATTATAACTACTCCGTTTAGCATGACATTTCGATAGGAAAAGCCTATCTTCTCTCTCTCTTTCTTTCTCTCTCTTTCTCTTTAAGTCTAGGTCCTCGTAATTTTGTCTCGAGTTTTCATCAAACCAGGGTTCTCTCACAAATTAGGAACCGGATCCCTACTAAAGACGCTTTTTGCTTGAAAAGCTAGAACGTGCCGATGAGACTTGAGAGGTCGGAAGAGAAGACACGCTGAGTGAGAAACTACCTTTATTTCAATCTCTCTCTCTCTCTCTCGTGCACATTCAAGAGAGAGAGAGAGAGAGAATGTCGTTGTCAAGCAACGATTTCTTTGACCGCGATCTTACCCGCAGAAATCTTAATGACTACCAAACCAAAGAAAAAGGTCCCTTGCTTGCACTGAACGAGAAAGAGAAAAGCTGGACTACGATATCTCGTATATCCTCGGGAAACACATTATCCACGCGTGCTACGTTACGTTAATACCTCGATAATTCATTCTAAATCCAGCAGATGAAGTGGCCGGTTCTCTCTTCTTATGCCTGCCCGTAAAGCATTCTGAGAAACGACCAGCCAATGCGATGCCGGCACGGGGACGGTCACTTTGATGCTACCTACTGCATTCGTTGCACTTCTCTCCACAAGGAAGTGCATTCTTTTTATTATTTATTCATCTCTCTCTCTTTCTTTCTCTCTTTCTTTAATATTTCATTCATCAATAATTATTATTATCAAATATTTTCATTCCATTTCTTTCTTTCTTTCTTTTTCTCTTTCCTTCTTTTCTCATCTCTGGTATTCTCTTGGATAATCATTTTCATAATTCGTATTATTTATTTTCCATCTCTCTCTCTCTTTCTCTCTTTCTCTCGTTTTCATTTCGAGAAATAAAATTAAACATTCCATCGTCATCCTATTTTATCGCTTCCTTTCTATTACATTTCATTCTTTTAAATATACTCGAATAATTTGTTCATAATTTATTTCTATATATTTCTTTATTTAAATTATTTTCATTTAATACAAATTGTGTGTTGCAATTGGAAGATAATTGCAATTAGTACGAGATACTGTTCTCTGGTCTCTCTTCATTCATCTTCTTCTTTCCCCAAGACGCACGATGTCTCTTGGTACTTTTGTTGATCCCTTTTTCTATCGCACTATTTAGTTTGTTACTCGACTGCACGCTCGAGAGAAGAAGAAGTCTCTCTCTTTCTTTCTCTTATGATGAAACAGAGGACACGCGACGAACGCACACGACGCGTGGCACGCGTCGTTGCTTTTCTTCCTCGTTTCTTCCTCTCGGTGTAACTACTTACCTTTTTGTTTGTTTTCACGTTGCTTTATTTCCTACCAACTTGTACACCCACGCTTTTCTCTCTCCTGGAAGATACACAACACATACACACACACACATTACAAAGAACTCATTCAAGTACCGTGAGTAGTCTCTCTCTCTCTCTCTCTCTCTCTCTCTCTCTATCCTTTTCTTTACGACCCCAATTTCAAAAGTAATTTATTTTTTTTTTCTATTTTATATTTTTTCTCCGCAATTTTTCAATCCATAAACTAGAATAACGAATTCTACCGAATAATCGAGGAAAATTTCATTTCGTTAATTCCGAAACGTGTATGATTTGTTTTTTTTTTTATTTTTATTATTATTATTCAAACGTTAATCGAATTAAATACCCTCAACGTTTTGTCGAGAAATGAAAATCCCGATGAAATTGCTAGTTGGTGAAATGAACAATCCAACTTTGTTAATATCGTTGCGTATAATTATAATTCTCTGTTATTGCGCGAAAATAAATTGCATTTATATTAATGATGTACAAAGTTATACAAATTTTATCATTATTAATTAATTAAGAATTATTTCTTGATATTATTCTTCGTTATGTATGAGAAAAGCTAAGTAATATTTTATAACTAAACTTAAGATATAATTTGCATGAGAGAATGAGAAGGAAAGATTTTTCTTTAGACAGTCTTTGACTACGGCACATGTTAGATTTATGTAGCGAAACGGATCGTACAACACGCTTTAAACATGAGATGTACTCTGTTCGTATATGTGTGTGTATCTTGTTCTCAACTAAATCTTAAACTTCAAGAACGAAATTAGCTATTTTTCTTTCTTACTGTTTTTTTTTTTTTTTTTTTTTTGACTCTTATCTCGCAACAAGTTACTCTATTTTCTAAAAACAAGTGGACACATTGTTAAAGTTCCTTTAAAAGACGACGAATAAATAAACGGAAGTNGCTTTAAACATGAGATGTACTCTGTTCGTATATGTGTGTGTATCTTGTTCTCAACTAAATCTTAAACTTCAAGAACGAAATTAGCTAACAATTTTTTAAACAATCTTTTTCTTTCTCTCTTTGTCGACTCTTATCTCGCAACAAGTTACTCTATTTTCTAAAAACAAGTGGACACATTGTTAAAGTTCCTTTAAAAGACGACGAATAAATAAACGGAAGTAAAAGTCATCACCCACTATGGAAAATTTTCCACTTCTTGGAAAAAAAAATGTTTATATAGAATTGAGCGTACGTGTTTAGTTCGACAAACATATCCGGACAAATGACCCAATTATTATATACTTCCGACTATTTTTGGCTGTGGTTCATAGAAATCGCGAAAATCGTTTGCTACGATCGCGCCTACTAAATTCGTTCTATCCGGTGAAAATCGTTTTAGAAGTAGGTCACTGGCTAGAACTCGATCGCAAACCCGCAGGATGTGCCAGGTGTGAAAGGGAAGAAAATTGAAGCTTTCAACGAATCAATAAACTACCTTTGCGAACCTTTCCTTACATTTTTCTATAACTTTATTCTCTCTTTTTTTTCCACTCAACTTGGAGTATATATATATATTTTTTTTTTCTTCAACTTTATATAAGAAAGAAGTACGAGAAGTAATAAAAAAAATTAATAAAATCTTGGAAATTTAAAACGAAATATATATATAGAATATATAGGAATAATTTTGAAAGAGATATTAGAATCGTAATAAGAAACATTTGAGAATGGTCTTTCGTAAAAGATAAATAATAATAAATAAATTTGTAAAAGAACATTTAAAAACAAAATATATATTAATATATAATAAATAAGATAATAATTTTGAGAGAGAGATATTAGAATCGTAATAAGAAACATTTGAGAAAGGTCTTTCGTAAAAGATGAATTATATATGACTAGGAGGTTTAAATAGATTTTAACCAAAGGGGCATAGCAAAGCAATGTGTGGGGTCCTGTTTAAAAGGTTTAACTCAAAGGAAAACCATTCTCTATATCTCTTTGCCGATTTCTGTCAAACGTATGTGTGCATACGTGTGTGTATAGTCGTCGTATAACACGGAAAGCTCGTTTTCTCGATTTTCCTAGGTTGACTTTCTAGTTTCTCTAGAAGCTCATCGTTATCGTCTCTCTTCTCAATTCTAACAACACTCAACGACATTCGTGAAAGGGAATGAAGATCGACGAGTTAATGTCGTGCTTTGACCATTCTTCCTCACTATACCAATTACCAACGTCTCAAATTTTTATA